GTGTGTGTGTGTGTGTGTGTGTGTGTGTGTGTGTGTGTGTGTGTGTGTGTGTGTGTAGTAGTTGGTAGACAGCAACCACCCAGGGAGGTACTACCGTCCTGCCAAGTGAGTGTAAAACGAAAGCCTGTAATTGTTTTGCATGATGGTAGGATTACTGGTGTCTTTTGTCTGTCTCATAAATATGCAAGATTACAGGCATGTCTTGCTACTTCTACTTACACTTAGGTCACACTACACATACATGTACACGTTTATTTATACACACTCATCTGAGTTTTCTTTGATTTTATCTTAATAGTTCTTGGTCTTATTACTTTTTCTTTTATATCCATGGGGAAGTGGAATAAGAATCTTTCCTCCGTAAGCCATGCGTGTTGTAAAAGTCAACTAAAATGCCGGGAACAATGGGCTAGTAACCCCTTTTCCTGTAAAGATTACTAAAAAGAATAAGAAGAAAATTGTGAAAGTGGGAAGTCTGAATGTGCGTGGATGTTGTGCAAATGATAAGAAAGAGATGATTGTAGATGTTATGAATGAGAAGAAACTGGATGTCCTGGCTTCAAGTGAAACAAAGCTGAAGGGGTTGGGAGAGTTTCAATGGAGAGGAATAAATGGGATTAGGTAAGGGGTTTCAAATAGAGTTAGAGCTAAAGAAGGAGTATCAATAATGTTGAAGGATAAGCAATGGCAGGAAAAGAGGGACTACAAATGTATAAATTCAAGGATTATGTGGAGTAAAATAAAGATTGGATGTGAAAAGTGGGTTATAGTAAGCGTGTATGCACCTGGAGAAGAGAGAAGTGTAGAGGAGAGAGAGAGAGATTCTGGGAAATGTTGAGTGAATGCGTGGGGAGTTTTGAATCAAGTGTGAGAGTAATGGTGGTTGGGGATTTCAATGCTAAAGTGGGTAAAAATGTTATGGAGGGAGTAGTAGGTAAATTTGGGGTGCCAGGGGTAAATGTAAATGGGGAGCCTTTAATTGAGCTATGTGTAGAAAGAAATTTGGTAATAAGTAATACATATTTTATGAAAAAGAGGATAAATAAATATACAAGGTATGATGTAGCACGTAATGAAAGCAGTTTGTTAGATTATGTATTGGTGGATAAAAGGTTGATGGGTAGGCTCAAGGATGTACATGTTTATAGAGGGGCAACTGATATATCGGATCATTATTTAGTTGTAGCTACAGTTAGAGTAAGAGGTAGATGGGAAAAGAGGAAGGTGCAACAACAAGTAAGAGGGAGGTGAAAGTGTATAAACTAAGGGAGGAGGAAGTTCGGGCGAGATATAAGCGACTATTGGCAGAAAGGTGGGCTAGTGCAAAGATGAATAGTGGGGGGTTGAAGAGGGTTGGAATAGTTTTAAAAATGCAGTATTAGAATGTGGGGCAGAAGTTTGTGGTCATAGGAGGGTGGGGGCAGGAGGAAAGAGGAGTGATTGGGGGAATGATGAAGTAAAGGGTGTGATAAAAGAGAAAAAGGTAGCTTACGAGAGGTTTTTACAAAGCAGAAGTGTTATAAGAAGAGCAGAGTATATGGAGAGTAAAAGAAAAGTGAAGAGAGTGGTGAGAGAGTGCAAAAGGAGAGCAGATGAGAGTGGGAGAGGAACTGTCAAGAAATTTTAATGAAAATAAGAAAAAAATTTGGAGTGAGTTAAACAAGTTAAGAAAGCCTAGGGAAAGTATGGATTTGTCAGTTAAAAACAGAGTAGGGAGTTAGTAGATGGGGAGAGGGAGGTATTAGGTAGATGGCGAGAATATTTTGAGGAACTTTTAAATGTTGAGGAAGAAAGGGAGGCGGTAATTTCATGCACTGGCCAGGGAGGTATACCATCTTTTAGGAGTGAAGAAGAGCAGAATGTAAGTGTGGTGGAGGTACGTGAGGCATTACGTAGAATGAAAGTGGGTAAAGCAGCTGGAACTGATGGGATCATGACAGAAATGTTAAAAGCAGGGGGGATATAGTGTTGGAGTGGTTGGTACTTTTGTTTAATAAATGTATGAAAGAGGGGAAGGTACCTAGGGATTGGCGGAGAGCATGTATAGTCCCTTTATATAAAGGGAAAGGGGACAAAAGAGATTGTAAAAATTTTAGAGGAATAAGTTTATTGAGTATACCAGGAAAAGTATACGGTAGGGTTATAATTGAAATAATTAGAGGTAAGACAGAATGTAGAATTGCGGATGAGCAAGGAGGCTTCAGAGTGGGTAGGGGATGTGTAGATCAAGTGTTTACATTGAAGCATATATGTGAACAGTATTTAGATAAAGGTAGCGAAGTTTTTATTGCATTTATGGATTTAGAAAAGGCATATGATAGAGTGGATAGAGGAGCAATGTGGCAGATGTTGCAAGTATATGGAATAGGTGGTAAGTTACTAAATGCTGTAAAGAGCTTTTATGAGGATAGTGAGGCTCAGGTTATGGTATGTAGAAGAGAGGGAGAATACTTCCCGGTAAAAGTATGTCTTAGACAGGGATGTGTAATGTCACCATGGTTGTTTAATATATTTATAGATGGGGTTGTAAAAGAAGTAAATGCTAGGGTGTTCGGGAGAGGGGTGGGATTAAATTATGGGGAATCAAATTCAAAATGGGAATTGACACAGTTACTTTTGCTGATGATACTGTGCTTATGGAGATTCTAAAGAAAAATTGCAAAGGTTAGTGGATGAGTTTGAGTATGTGTGTAAAGGTAGAAAGTTGAAAGTGAACATAGAAAAGAGTAAGGTGATGAGGGTATCAAATGATTTAGATAAAGAAAAATTGGATATCAAATTGGGGAGGAGGAGTATGGAAGAAGTGAATGTTTTCAGATACTTGGGAGTTGACGTGTCGGCGGATGGATTTATGAAGGATGAGGTTAATCATAGAATTGATGAGGGAAAAATGGTGAGTGGTGCGTTGAGGTATATGTGGAGTCAAAAAGCGTTATCTATGGAGGCAAAGAAGGGAATGTATGAAAGTATAGTAGTACCAACACTCTTATATGGATGTGAAGCTTGGGTGGTAAAAAGCAGCAGCGAGGAGACGGTTGGAGGCAGTGGAGATGTCCTGTCTAAGGGCAATGTGTGGTGTAAATATTATGCAGAAAATTCGGAGTGTGGAAATTAGGAGAAGGTGTGGAGTTAATAAAAGCATTAGTCAGAGGGCAGAAGAGGGGTTGTTGAGATGGTTTGGTCATTTAGAGAGAATGGATCAAAGTAGAATGACATGAAAAGCATATAAATCTATAGGGGAAGGAAGGCGGGGTAGGGGTCGTCCTCGAGAGGGTTGGAAAGAGGGGGTAAAGGAGGTTTTGTGGGCGAGGGGCTTGGACTTCCAGCAAGCGTGCGTGAGCGTGTTAGATAGAAGTGAATGGAGACGAATGATACTTGGGACCTGACGATCTGTTGGAGTGTGAGCAGGGTAATATTTAGTGAAGGGATTCAGGGAAACCGGTTATTTTCATATAGTCGGACTTAAGTCCTGGAAATGGGAAGTACAGTGCCTGCACTTTAAAGGAGGGGTTTGGGATATTGGCAGTTTGGAGGGATATGTTGTGTATCTTTATACGTATATGTTTCTAAGCTGTTGTATTCTGAGCACCTCTGCAAAAGCAGTGATAATGTGTGAGTGAGGTGAAAGTGTTGAATGATGATGAAAGTATTTTCTTTTTGGGGATTTTCTTTCTTTTTTTTGGGTCACCCTGCCTCGGTGGGAGACGGCCGACTTGTTGAAAAAAAAATAATATATATATATATATATATATATATATATATATATATATATATATATATATATATATATATATATATATATATATATATATAATATATGGCATACATGCAGTATTTGTCTTTTGTTTTCTCTGCATGAAACTTCTTTTTTTATGCCATTGATCAAAGTTTATTATATGGTAATGGTTGAACTGTCTCTAAAACAGTATAGAAAACAAAATACTCAGCACCGAGAAACATTAACTTTTTTTCTTCGAGATTCATGTCAGAAAATTTATTTTCAATAACACTAGCATAACAAAAGTTTGAAATTCTAACTCTTATATTGGGTAAGCGACATTTTTTCCTCTTTTTTTTTAATAAAGAAATGACTCTCAAATTCGTTTGTTTTTGTAATTTATTATGGCGCCTTTATACCACGAGGAGAGCTTTGTTTATTGCTGAGGGATAGTATTATACTTAGTGAAGAGTAAACTAGTGTGGGTCATTCAACGCGAGGCGTGGTGGAGGTTCGATTCTCCGCCCGCAAGTTACGACCCATTTCACTGGCGAGGCTGTTAGTAATCTCCAGAGAAAGCGTCAGTGTGAATGCAATATCTAAGTTCTTAGAATAAATTCACTTAGCACTGTATTCATATATGTATTTTTTTGTGTTTAGAGAATTTGTGTAGGAAACACAGGAGACAAACCCTAATCCTTATCCTCCTATTCAGACTTATAACCCTGACACAACATTGTTAATTCACGCCTGACTGTTGATGTAACAAGCATCCACTTACAAGATACAGCTGTATACTTTGTAAATCACATATAAAGTGATCAAATGGTTTAAAAATATTTCCCTGAATCCTGAAGAAGATAGTTCTTCGTGATTATAACGAGAAAATTCCCTCAGCACTACAGTGGAACAAGTCACAATGTAGAGATGTATCGGATGTGAAAATTTAGATATCTGCGGATGTGTTTGAAGATGTCTTACCTATTTCGCAGATGCGGATGTAAGGAATTGTGCGGATGTTCCGCGGATGTTGATGCGAATGTAGGAAATTGAGCGGATGTTCCGCGAATTTGGATGCGGATGCATATGCGGATATCTGTTTACAGTAAAATGCGGATGCAGATGTGAATGTAAGAAATTGTGCGGATGTTCCGCACATGTGAATGAGAATAGTTGGGATTGAGATGGACCTGCCTGGTAGTGGCCAACAGGACTGTGGAGTTCCTCCATTCCTATATTCTTATGAGAGAGATGGAGGAAGATGGAGATTCAATAGCAGTACCTGGAAGAGACGATGGGTGTGCCCGGCCGAGAGGTATGCGGCGCGTGGCTCGAAGCTCCTACAGACGGTGGATCCAGGAGGCGGGCTGCTGCGGTCAACCTGGAGCAGGTGGAGGTCCAGCTGCAGTATACAAGGTCACCTTGGTGGAGGTCAGGCTACGAAATACGAGGTCAACCTGGCGGAGGTCAGGTTGTGGTACGTGAGGTGTTGTCTTCGGCGAGCGGGAACAGCTTAGAGATGCAGTCGACACAAAGTGCGAAGATTCTCAAGATGAAAAGGGTCAAGTCGGGGCAGGAAAAGCTGGACTGGCATGCGTTGATAATAACAGTTATTCGCAGTCAGGCTAGAGCAAGTAAGCAGGATTTGGTCACTGCATATAGGATCAGACCAGGACATGCAGAGCGAGGGAGCATCGGATACGATAAAGCTTAGGTCTAGAAGCGTCTACTCAACCTTCCAATAGCAGGAACAGCACGAAAAGGCAGGCTAAAACTAAAGAAAGCAGTAAAGCCAAGCCAAGCCAAGCAGGGTCAAACCATAGAAAGCAGGATCAGGGTGGCCAGTGATGGTCAGGTTTTTCCATGCAGCGGTTAATTTAGCTAGTGAGCGGTCTGGTCTGGATAGAAAGCTTCAGGTTGCGTTAAGCAGCGGTCAGGCCGGGCCAATATGCGGTCAGAGTTGTGGTAAGCTTGACCAGGCAGGGGTAAAAGGGAGAAAGTAAGGCCATGCAAGACTACACTAAATTATTATTATAATCAAAAAGAAGCGCTAAGCCACAAGGGCTATACAAAGACTACACTAAAGGCGAGAGAAGTCTGCTTGCGACGTAACCCCTACACTTGTCTCGCATGCCAAAAGCTAAGGAAAGAAAGAAATATGTATTAACCAAACGCTACATGCAAATCAGATGTGGTAGTTATGAGAAATAACAACATATTTCATTCTTCAGGGCGCAGTTACAACGTTGTTCAGCAATCTACATTTTGAATATCTTTTAAGATATGTTACCTGCGAGATGAGAGGCTTAGGTAAGATAAGCCATGGGATGACAAGCACGCATGAAAAGCATCTTGTTCTAGCTGCAGGTGTCACTATTTTCACCTGTCATTATCATCCATCAGGTCTGTCAAATTCTTTATCTTACGGTGGTATCCGGCTAGCGTCCTGGGCCATTAACAGAGCTGGAAAAAAGTAATATATCACAGCATAGTCTAGCATAAAGATGATTAACACAGCACAGTGAAAGTAGCAGGGCCATTGCTATGTATCAAGGCATCATCTAGCAACATTCGATCAATAGCTCTCTTCAAGGTGTGAAGAGCTCTTAATCCAGGGAGTTGATACTACCTTCCACTTCTTGGATCAGACCTGATTGCTTCCTATTCACTAGGCGCTGTATGACCCCTCGAGTCCTTTTCCAATTCCAGTTTTTTTTTTTTCAAGGAAAATGGAAACAGACAAAAATGTAGTGTTCTGCATAGAATAGCTGAACTAAAACTTTGTATACAGCTTCACGCCTGTCTCAATGTTGGCGACCTCAACATGTGGACTTCCATCTGTTACTCTGCTGTATTCCACACATTTTCGATGCTGTTATTTATTCTTGCATGGCGTGTTTTAATGTCAGCTACTACTATGTGGAACACACAATTCAGCACAAACTCGGAGAGGTGTAATGGCGTGATATCAGGGAAGCCATCACGTTCAATCATGAAACTTTACGCTACGATAATTAATTCTCGTATGAAAAGAACTGCATTTTTTGTATATTTTACCATACTGTTGTATCTGTATGACCCTTGTGGATTTAGCACTTAGTTTTCATAATAGTAGCAATAATAATAATATTAATAATAACAATACCATACTGTTGTAGCAAATTTTCAGTGCCGAAAAGGCCTTTGTTTCTCTCACACTAGGTCCACAAAACCGAAAATCTTCAACTAAAATTTCAACTATCCATTGCGTTGACATTTTCCCCACTTCATGACATCATTATTTTTGACGTCTTAAAAAATGGCATACAAGTGGAAACAGTTATAAATAGTAGTAGTATATGTGAGCACGTCAGGCAAGAGACTGCGGAGCTGAAGTACCTGCTAGTGTTTTCATTCATGAAGTAACGTCAGACATACGTGATCTACGCTCCCTCACTGACTTGACGACAATTATTTTTGTGCACGTAAATTTGAATGTCTAATCAGAGTCCCAATATACATGACTGTTATAGTGAATGACATACTTTAAAATTGCATCAAACATATTATTACATTACTGTTATTACTGTAATTATTGTTATTACTGTTGTTATTATTTATTTATTTATTATTATTATTAAGCGGTAACCCGTTGGGATAATCCTGGGAAATGGAAGGAAGTCAGGTTTGATCCAAGGAAGAGGAAAGATAGCCTCGGTTCTTTGGATGAAGAGCCCTTCAACAACAAGACACCCCTTCCCTTCCTCACCCCTCGCCCCTTCCTCGGATCGAACCTCAATGTCTCCCAATCCTTAATGGTCCTATGTGACCCTTATAAGTTTAGTGCATTCCTGCAATTGCGACAGTTTACAATCTACTACAGTAACACAGCTACAGTCTACCACTGAAAAAGTGTTACGGTCTACCACGGTAACAATGTTTCTACCAGTGTTACAATCTACCTGTGATAGTATTACAATCTACCACAATAAATGTTACAATCTACCACAATAACTCAGTATTACAATGTATCACAATAAGTGCTACAGTGTATCACAATAAGTGTTACAATGTATCACATTAAGTGTTACAATGTATCACATTAAGTGTTACAATGTACCACAATAAGTGTTACAAAGTATCACAATAAGTTTTACAATGTATCACAATAAGTGTTACAATGTATCACAAGTGTTACAGTATAACAATAAGTGCTACGATGTACCACAATATATGTTACGATGTGCCACAGTGTTACGATGTACCACAGTGTTACAATTTTCCACAAAGTGTTAGTCTACTACAGTGACAGTGTTACAGTCTACCACAGTAAGTATTATACTCTATCACAGTAAGTGTTACAGTCTACCACAATGTTACAATTTACCACAGTAACAGTGTTACATCTACCAAAGTAACAGTGTCACAATACCGCAGTAACGGTGCTAGTTTTCGTGTATGTAGATCAGGAGAAACTGTCATTACAGAACAGTCCGTCCTGGACCAACACCGCCACCACATAATGGTCCGGTATGAGCTGGAACCTCTTGAGGTTTCCCACGAAAACGTGGATGAGTTGGGAACTGTTTCAGTCGCGGTACTGTGAATTTTATTCTTAAGGTTACAAAACTATTTCACTCGTGTGCGAGCACTGTGTGTATGCGTGTGCGCGCGCGCGCTTTAATATACACAAACGTACATATTGCATTCATTACTTAATGATTTTGAGGCGTGCGTGCGCTTACAGTTATACACCCTCACCAATTACTTAGCCGTAAAAACTGCAATTTTCAGGTTTTGTGTACACCAGTATTGAGTGTATGCATGAAGTGTGTCGGGGTGGAGGGTGTCGAGTGTTCCGTGAATGTAGCACAATCAATAAAGCGGCAGCTTTGGCGTGGCCACACTTAGTTACACAAGTGTAGCCTTGCCTTTCCAGGAAGAGCACGGCCCCACTCAAACATTATTTTTCCCCATTGGGAGCAGAGCGTGAGGCTTACAACCGAGGACGCCTGGGTTCAGTTCTGGGCTATGTGAGACACATGGCAAGTCTTTTTTAAAATCTGCCCCTGTTCACCTAGTAGTAAATGGTAGTAGACTTGTTGTGGGTCCCATAATGGGGAGGAACGAAGATAGCTGTACTGTTTACATTTGGCTTTTCTTCGGTTATTAACCATCTGGGATTAAATTTTTCTTCAGTTTGATTGCCATTCAAAATAAAAGAACAAAAGGAGAGTGAGGGAGGGGGAAGAAAATTGTGGAGAGGAATTTTATTGAGACGTTTCTGCTATTGACTAGGCATCATTAATCATTTAAAAGGAAAGAGGCTTCTACCCTTTCTTCTCAATAAAGTTTCTCTAGCTTTTCACCATTTATTTCATCTTGTCATCACAGCAACAATTGGTATCGTTAACTTGCATTCAGAAAATAAGCTATATGATTGAACTAAGTAACAACGCAAGGAAAATACTTGAAAGGTATAATTTTTTTTAACGAATCTAGAAAACAGCAACAGCACTAGTAGCAGTAGCACCATCCCTTACATATTATGTAATTATATTAATTTTAAAGGGATAGACCAGAAAGCCAACAGAAGGCCTCGGTCAGATGACCGAAAGCTCCAGTGTCGGGTCATCATGTGACTAAGGCCAGCGTCAGGAAGCAATTGTCCTGTTTCCTGATGAATCTTACCGAATCTAGCAGCAGTATCACCACCACAAGCACCGTCACCACCACTAGAACCACCATCACCACTAGAACCACCATCACCACTAGAACCATCACCACTAGAACCACCATCACCACCACTAGAACCACTATCACAACTAGAACCACCATCACCACCACTAGAACCACTATCACAACTAGAACCACCACCACATTCAACCACCATTAGAACCATCACTAGAACCACCACTAGAACCACCACTAGCACTAGCACCACCGCCACTAGCACTAGCACCACCGCCACTAGCACTAGCACCACCACCACCACTAGCACTAGCACCACTACCACCACCACCAGGTTTGTAAGTCATGTGGAACGTCAGCTGGCTGGTGGATCGATTATTCTGGTGTTTGTTTACTTGCCGTCGCTGAATGTCGCTCTCCACAGGTACTTCAAGGTCGTCACTCGCATTACCTATAAACGAAACTTTCACTGTTACCCCATTTAGACAGTGTGGGGGAAAATAAAGCTATGAAAAGGCAACAGAAGACAATCCAGGTTTCAAGTTGCAACCCTGCAACTTGGTTACGTTATAATGGTTACATTATAACACGACTGAACGAACTCCGTTTTTGTCACTAGCCAGCATAAACTAGGAAGGTTCAGCGCTTGGTTTTTTATTATAACAACATAAACCAGGAGGATGAGGGCGAAGCGGGAATCATTTTAGCCCCCTCTATGAGGATATCCAGGTCCTGACGACGGTTATCCAATACCTGACGACAGGTATCTAGGTCCCCACAATGGGCACATGACAAGAAAATGTCTGCCAATTTGTCATAGGTCTGGAACTTTCCAAAATTTGTGATGACCATTCTTTACGTCATCTGTTGGCACTATGATGGTATCAAGGCACTGTGTGTGTAGAATAGAAGGTGTCTGAGGTTGATGACTGATTCGGTTAATGATCTGATCAAGTCACTTATAAAATTCAGCCCAGAAACCTGCCATCCCATTTCTGTCTACCTGAATTCTTATCTCTAGTTTACACGTGGGGAAGTTATGTTGGCCTGGGTGCAGATAAGCTGATTTCTGGGGACTGGAGGGATGTGGCAAGACCCTTCACACTTGCCCCCAAAAGTACAAGGAATGCGCATTCAGTGATTCTCTAGGTACTTATTTGTGGAGTATGGGAGTAGTTGCACATCCATAGACACCTGAGATACTTGTATCAGTTTGAGTCACGTGCAGCCACCTGGTATAGTAGCAATATAGCCGTTTATTGTCATGAAATGTTATCTAATTCGTGATGTAATGTGTTATCGAATGTTAGAGTACTTCATTGCACAAGGCCTCTCATAGGATAAGTCGTCCTAATACTAAGCTGTTAATAAACCGGCACAGTTCGGCAGAGGTTCGTGCACTCATCTGTTCACTCGCTATAGTTTGTGTGTGACTGGTTGGGTAGGTAGGAGCGGTGGCTCTCCTAGCCAGAGGGCACTCATCGCTGGCTGGAAATAGTGCCCACTGCTCACAGTTGTGTAGGTTTGAGAGGTGATGTAGATACTAAGCTAGATTAATCTTTGTCTATCTCTAACTTGGCTTAAATACGTGTAAGTAGTAGCGTGTAATACATTAGCCTATGGAGGTTTCATTACTGGATTAAGTCTTACAAATTCAGAGTGTATAAAGAAATGTAACACTCGCTCATAGGCATAGGTGGATCTGTTCTCCCCCCCCCCCTCCTTTCTCTTCGTCTTAGGAAGGTTTTAACAGTCGGAAATCAAAAGCTGCGTGATTTTCCACACGATAGAACATGATAATTTCTTCAACCATGCCCATAATGCCTTGATATCAACATGGGGCCAATATACAACACAGATCAACACACAATTGGGACATCATCACACTCGATTCATCAACACACTCGATTCATCAGCACACTCGATTCATCAACACACTCGATTCATCAACACGCTCGATTCATCAACACACTCGATTCATCAACACACTCGATTCATCAGCACACTCGATTCATCAGCACACTCGATTCATCAGCACACTCGATTCATCAGCACTAGATTCATCAGCACACTCGATTCATCAGCACACTCGATTCATCAGCACACTCGATTCATCAGCACACTCGATTCATCAGCACACTCGATTCATCAACACACTCGATTCATCAACACACTCGATTCATCAACACACTCGATTCATCAACACACTCGATTCATCAACACACTTGATTCATCAACACACTCGATTCATCAACACATTTGATTCATCAACTCACTCAATTCATCTACGCACTCCATTCATTTACACTTGATTAATCAACGCTGTACATCATCATACTCGCTATAGGAAGACACCACAACGTTTGAGCGTGTAAATATAAGCATTATTTCCGAAAATATTGTTGCAAATAAATGATTTTTCATTGTAAAATACACATCACGATGCCTAGCTTGTCCTCATCATTATCCATAAGTTTTCCAACGCAGTTTCTAAACGATTTAAGCCAGTATCGTAAAATAAATATATTTTAGGTCAGCTTATTTTAATTTAAATTACATAAACGGGGCAGCATCTTGCAGCTGGGCAGGGATCTGTGTAGTTACCTTGATGTTGTGAGGGACTCTTGATCTATGAATACGAGCTTACCTTCTCTTTTCTTTAATATAGTAATTCGTTCCTTGAAAACAAGACGAATGAAGCGTTACTGTGTACACTGGACGTAGTCAATAGGTGTGCGTGTTCCAATATGACGCAGTGTGTAGGTACAATGTTTAACAGTCGCATCAAACACCGTCGCCAGGGGATGCTAGGCACTGGAGGAGCAGTAGGAAGGTTCACTGACCCTGGCACGAAAGGGAGAAAGGGACGTTTTCGTCATTACAGCTCCCATTAATCCCTTACAATCTTATCTCTCTCTCCCTCTCTCTCTCTCCCTCTTTCCCTCCCTCTTTCCCTCCCTCTCTCTCCTTCCCTCTCACGCAAACGCACGCACACATAAACAAATAAAAAATCTCAATTTATAATGCCTTTGGGAACACAGTGAACATGCAATCCACCTCATTTGTGTCCATAAATATTGTATTGCTCCAGTTCCCTCGTTACTAAAAAAAATATATGACACGAAACTGAAACAAGCTCACGACAACACGCACACGTCTGTACACACTCGCGTTATGTATACACTCGCGTTATGTATACACACTCGGGTATGTATATACACATGTATACGCATACGTGTTTTGTATACACGCTTATGAGTGCACAAAAACAGTACATGGGGATATTAGAAAAAAATTCTTGGTATAAAGGTTGACCAATAGAATGATTCACAATAAGAGGAAGTATAAGTGTTGCAACCTTTGGAAATTTAAAAAAAAATATGCAGTCGACAGAGACAGAGAACCACGAGTACAGCTGTACTACTGTAGCTTTAATTATGCTATTTACAAATGGTAAAATTACACACACACACACACACACACACACACACACACACACACACACACACACACACACACACACACACACACACACACACACACACACACACACACACGCACGCGGGGGGGGGAGCTGTGAATCGACCCTTGCAACCACATATAGGTTAGCATAGGTGAGTACACACACCACGTATCTAACAGCTGACTGGAAAATCAACATGAAGTTTTGTTGGGTGTGAGATGTGAAAGGTTCCTAGAATACATTCAATTGGGAATTATTCGTTGATTCTGTATCAAGTAAACAGTAATTTCTAGGAAAGTGCTTCTCCGCAGAGATTTTATCCGGTTAGTATCATCGATTACCAAAGAAATTCTTAAAAAAAAAGTTAAACGAAAAGAGAGATTGATCTGGTAGAAGAAGCAGAAACAGATAATAAAGACCAAAAAAACGAGCGTGCCAAGACGAAATTTAAAATAAATAATTCTATAATTGAATAATTTTCTCCAGGGAATTTCTGAGAAGTCGTTGGCAAGACAGAAAAATGCGAGCAATTCAGGGAGTCGAGGCGACGTGACTGTTAACCCAGTTCCCCTTATTCAGCAAGTTAGGTTAGGTTAGATAAGATTCCTCAGGCAACAGACCGGGTGTTTCCTGATGCGGGTCTAGTCATATGGAGCTTTTGGTCATCTGACCAAGGCCTTCCGCTGGCTTACTGGTCCACCTCTTTAAAAATTACGATCATGATTATAGCCATTAGTAATTTTTTTACTCGTAGGAGGAAGCTGACGGTGGCGCCCTCAGCCTGCAATCATAACTCTCCTCGACCGTGGGGCCGGCAAGCAAGTAATAAACATGTAAAAGAGTTCTAGGAAAAATGAGTCTGCCTCTGTCCGGTAGGAACACGTGGAGCACACTATCATTAGATGGTTTAAAATATCGTTTCATAAGGATACCGCGGTGACCCAAATTTGTAAAGGTCATTTTTTGTGTTTGAGCAGCAAGGTGACCAGATTAAAGAATATATATTTTGTCTACGCATGAGACTTATTTTTAATAAGTCTCATGCGTAGACAGCGAGATGAATAAAATCTTTAAAAAAAAAATTTTTTTTAGGGACTGAAGTTCCCAAATACAGTTCAAACATCCATTAAAATTTCAGTGCAAATGAAAGATCCTTAGGGGGTCAGTGATTTACATAAATCTGTAATAATAGTATTATTATTACGAATACAAATGAAAAATGGCTTATGAAGCAAGGGTCATGTTAGTCTGGAGTGTAGGAACTTACTGACGCTGTATTTGGCCGTGATGTGAGAATACATGTTAGCGTGTCCAGAGGTCATGGTGAGAATAATGGAAGGTTGCCTCCAGTGATGCCGGTGAGATATTACCCAAGATAATTATGGTCATGAGAATTAGCTGTGATTAACGAATAAATTATCTGTTTACTTTCAAGTTTAAACTCCGGGGATTAGCCGTCTCCCTCGCAGCAGTAGCAATAACAACAGCCATAGTAACTGCAGCAGCAGCAGTAGCAGCTGAAGCCCTGACCCGTGTCGTCTTTCTCTCAGAAGCAGCCATGGACATGGTTTCCAGGTTTTGTATCTTCCTCCTTCCCCTCTTCCTTCATTCCTTTTTTTTCTATCTTCCTCCTCCTTCAAAGAATCAGCAACTGAAGATTTCGTATTCACATTAGTGTTACTATTATATAATGGATAATCAATCACGGTAACGTTTAAGTGCCGTATCAGAGTGCCAGTTCCTCATAAAGCAACAATAGTGGTAACAAGAGCAAAGAAACTTTGCTGAAATTTAATTTAGAAATTCATGGGAAAACTTAAAAAAGAGTGAGTCCAGAGTGTCGCAACCCGACCACAGTGAGTGGTATATAAACGAAGATTATATATAATGCTGATAAAACCTTGGTGTTAGGTTCTTGTTCTTTCTTACGAAATATTGACAGAATACCACAAAAGTATATCGTAAAACTGACCTAGACTTTCCTCTTGCTCCAGGACTAATTAGAAATTGTTGTTAATGCCTCTGCGGAATATCTTGAAACTCTACGGGTAGGTAGCGTAGTATTTTATTATTCAGGGCTTCATGACCCTAGTCGGTTTAGCGCTTTATTATTGATAATAATTTTATTATCAAAATGTACCTGATAGGCTTTCTGATCGTGACCCTGATTGTCACTAGCCTCGCATTCCAAACACTGGCATCCAAGGCGTCTAATTTGTTAGACTTTGTGCTAGCAGCTCACTTTATATGTACTTATGCCGTATCTGCTTCGTTCTTCATTACAGACTGTTAGAGAATTCCCTTATATTTAATGAAAGTATGCTTTACACTGTTGAAATTGCAGGGTGCTGTCCGATATCAATGCATGTGAAAGCCAAGCCCGATGTAAGGTTATAGTCCCCACCCCTTTCACTCAGGAGGCGACCCATAACAGGAGTTGAACCCCTGTGTACTGTTAGGTGAAAACAGCAACAACTGCAAAGGAACATGTCCAGCGTCTTCACGCGTGTGTGAATGTTTTAAATATTTTTTATGGTAATGAACGTTGAGTACTCTACGCAATCAAAGTGCTCCATAAATGTCACTACTATTACATGATCTCGCTTTCCAGGATTGAACCCGGGTCCTTGGACTGTAAGCCACCTAGGAAAATTGAAGATCATTGGGGATTTGATATTATTCGAGAAACCTCATAGCGTATTATGTATTGCGCTGTTACTCTTCATTAAAACAATTAAGCAGGTTCTGCCTCGCTGCCTTGCTTCCCACGCACTGCTTCATCCTGCAGGTTTGGTTGCAATTCGAGTATTTTTTAGGCAAAATTAACGTGCATTCTTTTCGTCTTATTTAGAGGCACATTTTGAGATCATTTACGTACTTTACTAATTTTAAATATTTGAGTCAATGTAGAAGCAAAAATTTTCTGCCCACTTGTTTTTATAGATAGACATTTTGTTACCCATAAATTAGTCGATTAATGTATAATATTAATCTCATTTATAACGTAAAAGTGACCCGGCAAAGTGTCAGTGGCTTCATATTTCTTTCTTGAAGAATTTTTGTAACTTAGCTCATTAACGATTAGGTTAGGTAAGGTTTGTCAGGAAACATGATAAGTGTTTTCTGACACGGGTCTTAGTATTATGATGACCCACAGCTGGAGTTTTTGGCCATCTGACCGAGGCCTTCCACTGGCTAGCTCTGCTACTTGTTTTATAGTTGGGAAAATATAGTTGACATAGGCCTGAACTTTTTTCTGTCTTCAGCTTATTTTCGTGCAGTCTACTAGGCTGTATTAGCGTTAGTAGAGGCCTAAGGCTAAAAGGAGAGAAAAGCCTGAACATGAATTACATAATGAAAAATAAAAAAAAAAAATTTTATACATGGTTTAGATATGTAAAATTAACGACTCTATTCTACTCTACATTCATGTCTTAAAAGAATAAACATATTCTCCTAGGTTTATCTATCGTAAAACCATGAATAAAGTCACTGTAATTCAAAGAAATAACGATTTCATTCTCAGCGCTCTTTAAGGAACGTGCTAAAATGTTCTCATGGGAAAGTAAACTAGGGAGAATTTTTTTTAATGAAAAAAAAGGAATTTCTCCGCAGTAGTTACTGACTTTAAGCGGCACATCCAGACGTAATGCTCTTTCAAAAAATTTTAAACATCCTCACGTAGAATCCACTGATAAAACACAAGCCGCACTCAGGCGACAAACTTATGACGACGTTTCGGTCTGATTTGGACCACTGGTGCCCCGTGGCCTGGTGGCTAAAGCACTCGCTTCACACGGCGAGGGTCTGGGTTCAATTCCCAGAGAGCTTAGAAACATTGGGCGTTTTTCTTTACACCGGTTGTCTGTTTCTCATTATTAAAATGAGTACTTGGAAGTTAGTCGACTGGTGTGGGTCGTATCCTGGGGCAAAACTGACCTAATTTTCCCTAAATTCTCTGCATAACAAGCGGCTTTTTATATAGTAGTATGTCATTGATGTCAGCTAGGCCTGCATACCTTGTACATGTACTTCTAGAATTATTATTATTATTATTGTTATTATTATCATCATCATCACTATAAGAACATAAGAAAGAAGGATCACTGCAACAGGCCTACTGGCCTATGCGAGGCAGGTCCAATTCTCCCACCGGCTTAAGCTCACTGACCTAGTGACCTTAAGCTCACTGACCTAGTGAAGTCAGACACGTCACTTAAGAGAGGAGCACGGCATCAGACCTAGTAGCACAAGCTAGTTAGGTCCAACTCACACCCACCCACACCACTCGTGTATTTATCCAACCTCTTTTTAAAACTACACAACGTCTTAGCTTCTGTGGCAGTGCTTGGGAGTTTGTTCCACTCATCCACAACTCTATTACCAAACCAGTGCTTTCCTATATCCTTCCTGAATCTGAATTTTTCCAATTTAAAACCATTGCTGCGAGTCCTGTCTATGTTAGATATTTTTAGCACGCTATTTACATCCCCTTTATTAATTCCTGTTTTCCATGTATACCCCTCAATCATATCCTCCCTAATTCTACGCCTTTCTAGAGAGTGCAGATTCAAGGCCCCAGCCTATCCCCATAGGGAAAATTTCTGATATACATGGGATCAACTTTGTCATCCTCCATTGTACGTTTTCCAGTGCATTTATATCCATTCAGTAATACGGTGACCAGAACTGCGCAGCATAGTCTAAATGAGGCCTAACCAAAGATATAGAGAGTTGAAGAACAACCTGAGGACTTGAGGATATGAAGACAAGGATCCTGTTAGCTTTATTGCGAACACTTATGCACTGTTGTCTTGGTTTCAGATTACTGCTAACCAGAAATCCTAAATCCTTTTCGCAATCCGTAATATTAAGATCTACATTATTTAGTTTAAATGTGGCATGGTTATTTTCCTGTCCAACATTTAGAACTTTGCATTTGTCTATATTAAACTGCATTTGCCACTTCTCCGACCACTGCATCAGTCTATTCAAATCATCCTGGAATGCTCTGATGTCCTCATTAGAATGAATTGAACGGCCTATTTTGGTGTCATCAGCAAATTTGCTTATGTCGCTATTTATGTAGATTGTGAACAACAAGGGGCCCAACACTGACCCCTGTGGACCGCCGCTTGTGACGTGCCCACATTCTGATTTCTCCCCATTTATGCAAACTCTCTGCTGCCTATTTGTCAACCAACCAGGAAAAAATTTCTCCTATTCCGTGTGCCTTAAGTTTTCTCAACAGCCTCTGATGTGAAAAAAGTAAATTCGTAAGGCAGGAACGCCTTTTTGTAAAATCGTGTTGAGAATTATTAATCAATTTATGCCTATCAAGATGGCTACGAATTGCTTCGGGAATTATTGATTCCATAAATTTACCAACTATGGAAGTAAGGCTTATTGGTCTATAGTTCGAAGTTAAGGACCTGTCACCTACCTTATAAATAGGTATTACATTTGCCATTTTCCACTTGTCTGGCACTATGCCAGTTTGTATTGATATATTGAAAAGATTAGCCAAAGGTATGCTAAGTTCCTCTATACATTTCTTTAAAACTCTTGCAAACAGTTCAGCAGGGCCTGGGGATTTGTTAGGGTTTAATTTCCCTATTTGTTTGAAGACCATGGCACTAGTTACACTAATCATGCATCGTTTATTATCGTCCTGTTCTTTATAATTTATCATTTCTGGAGTTTCGCTAGTATCTTCCTGAGTAAAAACTGAGAAGTAGTAGGTATTGAAAAGTTCACACATTTCCTTACCACTGTTAGTGATCCGCCCTGAGTACTCTTAAGTGGGCCCATCTTGTCCCTAATCTTACTTCTGTGTACTTGAAAGAACCCTTTTGGGTTAGTCTTCAAATACCTTGCGACTTTAGCCTCATAACCCCTTTTTGCTTTTCTTATTCTTTTTTTTATCTCTTTAATTGAATAGATTGATTTCTTAACTGCCCTTCCCCTCTTTGGATACGTCTATATATGCCTCTCTTTTGGGCAATGAGATGTTTTAAACTATTGTTTATCCATTTGGGATCATTTTTGTTAGGTCTAATTTCCCTACTCGGGACAAAAGTCGGCTGGGCAGCCAGCACTATGCTCTGAAATACGTCATATTGGCAACCAACTCTACCTACCTGACACATAGTAAGGTCGTCCCAATTTAGCCCACCCAGGTAATTTCTTATACCCATGAAGTCGGCCAAGTGGAAATCTGGAACAGCGACTTGATTGCAGTTATCTGGGTAATTCCATGATTAATTGAAACTAAGTGGTTTGTGATCGCTTTTCCCTAGTTCATCACTAACCTCAAGATTAT